CGCGGCCGTACTCCCCTCAGCACCCCGGTGGCCGACTAGGGCGGCGGGATGCCTTTGGTAGTGAGCAGGCGGTGAGCGAGTGCTTTCTTGCTCCAGGTTGCTCCCCTGGGGACTCCTCTGTGCCTCCCCCTAAGCGGCCGTGCCTTGCTCTGGTGCTCGTGTGGACGGGGTGGCTCGCCCAGGGGCCAGGAGGGCTTCCTTTTTGGATGTCCGGGCTGCGTGCCTCCCGCCCGGTGTGTATCACATAGGGTTTTCCGTTCTCTTGCTCTCTGCAGTCCCTCCTTGCACTTAGATGCCTCCTGCATGCCCAGACACCTACTCTGTACTCTGGGGAGCACTTCTACTTCTAGTCTTGAGTGTAGAGGGAAAGGGGAGATAGTGAAAAGTTCCTCAGGGCAGCAGGCAAGCAGGAGGAAAGGCAGAGACGGTCTGTTTTTTCTGCCCTTTCCCTCCCCAATACCTTGCAGTGCTGTCCATAGTTGGTGCTTGCCTTCCCTCCCCCTCAGGAAGCTGATGTTCCAGCTGGTGGGAGTAGAATGGTACCTTGGCCTGGCTGGGTTCAAAAACGGAAACTGAGTTTGAACAATGTGCTTATTGCGTCTTATCTGCCATCTGAGCGGGTTTGTGTTTTGTTTTCCACTTCTCCAAACACATGTTCATCGCATGTGTCGGACTTTCTAGAGTTGGTTGAGTCTGTGGCGTGTATTGGGTTTGGGAGGTGTACCTCAAGACCAGCAGTTACAGCTGGTTTCAAATGAACTTAGCTCAAGGGTCTGCTTGGACTAACAAGAGCGGGTAAAGTACTTATAAACAGGAGTTGAGAGAACTTTTTAAGTCTTCCCACTTTGGTTAAGTGCTTGTGACTTTAAATTGGTCCTTGGAGTGCTGGCAAATACTTCTGATTTAAAGTGATGCTTTCTGGAGCATAGGTGGGTGTACAAGATCATAGAGAACTCTGTTAATCAGCATTTACATTTTTATAACAATGTAATTCCTAAGTGCTTGTCAAAATGCATGAGGAACTGTTGTATTTCCCATTAATCCTCTGTCTGTTCTAGTTACCTCTATATGAAAGGGATTTTTTTAAAGACAATTTTAACAAAATAATCTGTTTCAAGAATAGAAATCAGCTTTATTTTGTGACTCATTTGAATGTATATTTAATTTCTACGTAATTCATGTCATCTGGAAGTTCTGTATTGAAATGTTTCCTACCACATTTGGTTTGTATGCATAGACTGAAGGTGACAGAGGAGGGTGTTTTGCTCTAGAGTTGTGCTTGGGAGCTGTAGTAAACAATGTTACCTCTTAGTAGGGTCATGAATTGGGTCAGAAATCTATTTGGGTGTTGTGAATGGTGTCATGATAAAGCTGTGGTAAGCCAGAGCATTGGTCTTTGTATAGTTGTCATGGTTTAACCCCAGCTGGCAGTTAGGACCATGCAGCTGCTGGCTCACTCCCCTGATTGGGATGGGGAAGAGAATCAGAAGAGTAAAAGTGAAAAAACTTGTGGGTTGAGATAAAGACAGTTCAATAAGTAGAGCAAAAGCTGGACGTGCAAGCAAAGCAAAACCAAGGAATTCATTCCCTGCTTCCCATTGGCAGGCAGGTGTTCAGCCATCCCCAGGAAAGCAGGGCTCCATCATGCTTAAAAGTTGCTTGGGAAGACGAATGCCATGACTCCAAACGTCCCCCCATCCTTCCTCCTTCTTCCCCCAGCTTTATATACTAAGCATGACGTCATATGGCATGGAATATCCCTTTGGTGAGTTGGGGTCAGCTGTCCTGGCTGTGTCCCCTCCCAGCCTCTTGTGCACCCACAGCCTGCTCGCTGGTGGGGTGGTGTGAGGAACAGAAAAGGCCTTGACTGCCTAGCAACAACCAAAAACATCAGCGCGCTATCAACATCGTTTTCATCCCAAATCCAAAACATAGCACTATACCAGTTGCTAGTAAGAAGGTTAACTCTGTCCCAACTGAAACCATGACAACAGTGACGCTGGTGGCAGAGCTGACACTTCTATTTCAGACCTGAAGACAGCATAAGGTGCTAGAGGCTCAAGAACAGGCTAAAACCAATAAATGTAGCTGTAACTAGCAGTAAGTCATTGAAAGCCCAACTCAAACCAGCTAATTTGCTGCTACTGAAGTTCAAAGTTCATTTTGAGTTGGTGATCTGTCAAAACAGTTTAAAAAGCACATGTATCCAGTTAGTCAATGTTCTAATTTGTTTGACAAGTATGTTTACCAGTGTGCCTAGCAGCAACTGCTCAACTTGGAAGAGAAAACCAGTTGCCTAAATTCAGTTTGTTATGTGATTTTTGGAGATGTAATCAAGCATGGATGTTTGAGGTAATGCTGTTTCTCTTGAGGAAGGTGTTACAAGATCTTTCATGATGCAGAGGTGGCTAGTTTGTGCTGTGTTGAGATACTGTTGGTAACTTTTGCTTTCCCAGTGTGCAAAATAAGGTCTGCCTGGCAGGGTTCTGTCTCAGGCCTTGCAAGATTAGTATGTAGCCCTCAGGGTTCCCCAGAATTTTAGGTTTTAGAGGGAGAAGGGGGAAGAACAATAAAATAGGAAATCGGGAAAAATACATCTTTCAATTTAAACTAAAACGAGAGGAGCCACTGTAGAGCCTGTGTCAAGCAGTTGGTTCTGGCTAAGACAGATATTGGACATCATAAACTTAATTGTGTGGAAAATCTACTTAGTGTTCTCTAGGGATCACAAACACATGATTGTGCTTTTAAAGGGTCGATGTATTTAAGCTTACAGGAACTCAAACATCCAGTGAGTCTAGAAAAATAGATGGAAGCTTTAGATAACACAATTATAACAACATTATTGCTACACTGCTTGTCACTCTACCAGCCCAAATGAAAACAAATGAGCTCTGCTCATTCTCCCTCTCTTTCTGTGCTCCAGTGTAGGAGTTGCCATTGGAATTGCACTCCCAGCTGTAAGAGCACAATACATTTGTCAGGATTACTAATTTAGTGTGAGGTTCTGGGAAAAAAAAGTAAAATTGAGTAGACAAGAGGAAAAAAGAGCATAGGAGGAAAGATGAACAGCTAAAAAAGTATTTAAGCCCTAAGAGTATAGGGACTGATAACAGCACACTGGCTTATATATAGGCATTTAAGTTAAATAATACGATGGAAGTGGCTGGGGGAGAGAGAAATCCCACAGCTGGGGAAGAATGTCCTTGGACGTGACTATGGATATAACATATGGATGAATGGAGGAGGATAACCTTTGCAGAAATAGAGACAGAAAGCTCTGGAGGTGTCTGCCAAAGGTTAAGAAGTCTCCCTTCATCCCTCTTGCAGTTTTGGGAGCCTGCCTCTGGCGTATAGTTTCAGGTTTGGTTCCAGCCACTCCTGAACTCCTTTGTGTTCTCTTCAGTGTCTCGGTGATGAGCTGCTTAGTAGTAGCGTCGCTGTCAGTGCGGTACAGGCAGCACTCACATCTGTTGTGGTAAGCGCATAAAGAGTTTTAGTATGGGTTTAAAAAAAAAAAAAAAAAAAAAAGGGAATATGGTCCGTTCTCTGTTCCCAGCTGCGATTGCCATACATGTGGGGGTGCTGAGCTGGCTGCATGTAGGCTAGCTCAGGAGCAGCAGCAGCATACCAACAGGGCTGTGCTTTACTTAAATAGTAAACACTGTGGCAGACTGTTTGAATACGTTCTGAACAGGCTTTTGGAAATGTTCACACAGGAGGTTTTAATGTTGATGTTTGTCTTCCTCAAAATTTTGTATCTGACTCACCAAACTGTCTACTTGGGAAACCTATTGAGCATTTGTTTCCACATTGAGTGCTGCTTGTGCCAGCAGAGGAATGAGACAAACTTTCATTGACAGATTCGTGCCTTGCCCTCTCCACAGAAACTATGCTACAATTCCACTGTCCCTGTTTCTCTTCCTTTCCTTCCTAGCCCTCCCTCATTTTTTTTGGCTTGAAAACTTGTTGGCCTTGATGATGTTCTTTCCCTGATGTTCCAAGAAAGGCAGAAGAGAAATCCTGCATTTCTCCTGAGTAGTAGAAAATGTGCCTTGACTGTGAATACAGATCTGCCCTTCTCTGGGTTTATTTTGAAGATGAATTTTTGCACAAAATCGGTTTTGAAAAATTCCCTTTTAGCTCTATGCATGTAAAAAGATACATAGGATGCATGCAAGGCATCTCTAACAGCAGGTTTCACTGGCTGTGCATGGTGTTATGCTGATGTTGGAGCAGTGAGAATTTTTCTCATATTTGTATGAATGTTTTTCTCATGTGCGCTGGGTGAATCCCATTGGCAGGTTCCAATGTCGTGGAAGTTTTTAGAGAGGTAGCATCTGCCTTTGAGTTTGTGGAAGCTTGCACTTGAAGCATGAAATGAACACATGCTAAATGCAGGTGGAGCAAGTGATAGCTGACTAAAGGATGTGTGACCTCCCCAGCAGCTCTGCTGGCACAGACAGACAGCAGCATGACTCTCTTATATTGCTGAATGAAGTTACAAGATACTACTTGACAGGCGGATTAAGAGAGACTGTCCCAACAAGTCAGGCCAGAAAGTAAAACCATTGCGTTTCAAATAGGTGAAATAATAAGACTAATCTAAGGAAGGGATCCATAACCAGAGCATCTTAATGCAGCTTTAGTTCCTCCCTCCCCCAGTCAGGAGTTTCTTGAGCGCTTTTTTGCTTATATGCCAGGTTGTAGGAAGGATTTGGGTGAGATTTGAATAAAATGTTTGGACTGAAGTTTTTTTGTCTCCCTCTCAGCCTGTGCCAACAGCACTGGCTCAGGTTGACCGCGAAAAGATCTACCAGTGGATCAATGAGCTGTCCAGCCCTGAGACACGGGAGAATGCACTGCTGGAGCTAAGCAAGAAGCGCGAGTCTGTTCCTGACCTTGCCCCGATGCTGTGGCACTCATTTGGCACGATTGCTGCGCTCCTTCAGGTGGGTAGGACTGGCAGCATCTTTATTCTGTGGTGCAGCACCAGCACATTGCAGAGCTTGCGCATCCATGGGGCAGGTTTGAGAAGGCACTGGTGGGGTCTCTTATTGCCATTGCTGGGAGTATGATGTATGTTGGATCATGTGGTGAGGGGACCAGATGTGTGCAGAGTCTGTAATGTTTCTAATGAGACAGCTTGCATAGTTGGAAGGGGAACAGGCAATTTCTTGAGTGTATGAGCTCCCTGTGGATCATATTCTGCTTATTTTCATATAATGTCATAGCAAAGCCACAACAGTCTTACTCCTAAGATTTCTGGTTTGATTTGTTTGGCATGAGCTTGAAGCACTTCCTGATCAAAAGGTTGCCCTTGCAGAGAGCCTGCTGAAAGGGCATCAGGGGAATGCTGCTCACTGCTCCAAAGATCCTTGCAAGGGAACGTACCTGCATTTCATGTGAACCAAGCATCTCAGCTTATCTCTTAACTGCTATTTATCTTAACTACTCTGTAGCTGATGACCAGCTATCTCTCAGTGCCAAATCTAGTAATTCCTTTCGAAGAAGGAAAGAAAAGAGTGCAAGATTGGCAATGTTAAACTGTTCTCGGAATGGCCCTGAAACAAGTGAAGCAAATTAGAAGGGAGCTGTAGTTGGAAGCAGGCAGACTTCTGAATCAGATTTGTCGCCCTCAGCTGCTTCCCTTGCATTGAGTTAGAACAGTACCAGCAGCTACTGTATGAATAGAGTGGGTGTGCTTTTCTTCTAGGCACAGGAACAACACTCCTCTTCGATCTGGAAGTTCAAAACAAAGCAGTTCCTACACTAGTAAAGAGCCAGGAAATCAAATGAACCCTTTTTAAACTGAAATTAAGGTTTGAATACATTCCTGTGACTCCTTGTCAAATTGACTCTGACCCAGCTCTGCCCTTGCCTGGGCAGCGTGGTGGCTGCCATGTAACTTCAAAGTGCTGCTTGGTGAAAACAGACTGTTGTCTCCTGTCATAGTTCCTCGCTGGGCAAGTGCTTTGGTGCAGCTTTCTGATGGTTTTTGCCTTTAACTTTTCGTCATCTGTTAATTTGTAGGAAATTGTAAATATTTATCCATCAATCAACCCTCCGACTTTGACAGCCCATCAGTCCAACAGAGTATGCAATGCTTTAGCTCTGTTACAGTGTGTTGCATCACATCCTGAAACGAGGTAAGTGTTCCAAGTGGGTGAGTTTTCTAAGGTGTTGATGTTGGCAGCTCAGCCGGTCTGTTTGACTCTAGAAGCACATAAGCTCCTCTCTTCCTTTTTACTAAGAGAAGTGGAAGAGAGAACAGAGCTGGAAGATAGGCAGCTGCCTGCTGCTTTCACTTGTTTGCACGGATTATCAGGATGACAGCTTTATGGTGGTCCTAAATGCATTGCATTCCCTGGATCATCCTGAGATCTTGCAAATTCCCAAAACAATGGGTTGTGGCAGCTCCTGGGAGCTCAGCCAGAGATAAGGGTACCTTTGTGCTGAGTGCTGTGTGCAGAATCCTTGTTTTAATGAGCTTACAGTTATTTAGATCAGTAGCTTACAGTTATTTAGACCAGCTGTCCAAAGGGTGGAATGAGCAGGACTGTCCTTCCCAGAGTTTGTGTCTAGCAAGGGAGCAATAGCAGAGCCATGTCTGGAGTTTTCTCAATCTGTGTCCAGCCCGTGTCAGCAGGGGAAAAGATGATCTTGGTTCATCCAGAATCAGTAGCTAAAACTCAGAAGAAAATTACCCAGAGATCCATGATCTCATGCTTCTGTTCCTGCTGAGAAGAGAGGGCTACATAGCTGAAGTTGTTTTTCAGCTGCTGCAAAGTAGCATTAAGCAGCGACCCTCCGTGAGATGACATCCAAAGAAACAGAATGATTTTACACCACACAGCTTTACATTTAAAGTTTCAAAACTGAAAACAGAGGAAGAATGTTGGAAGGTTGTGCAAGAGAGCTTCCCTCTGCTGGCAGAGCAACCTTCAGATTTCTCCCTGCAGTCTGTATTTTTCACCATTGTCAGAAGGCAGTGTGAGGACTCCTGGGGAAAGGTGGCTGTGCACATTTAAACTGTGGTAATGCCTAGAGATCAGCCAGTCTGGATTTCTGTCGTGCGGAGGCTTTGCACATAAATTGTGGCTGACTGTCAGTGCCCGTGGGAGCCTGCAAGATGAAATGCAACAGTGAATGTACGAAGCAGAGGGTCTCGGTGGCAGGAAGAGATAATAAAAACAACAGCATGTGCTGTGGTCCTGGTCAGCTGGAAGAAGTGGTGCAGGTAACTGACAGTTTAGGCGTTAAGTTTTGTGCTACACCCAGTGCAGAATTTACTTCATACATTTCCATCAGAGAACAAACTATTACCCTCTTTTGAGGAGCAGCAGCAATGGTGTCCGTCAGGAACAGTCTGAGACTCTGCATGGTAACGCTGGATTGTGCGCTCGTTTTGTTTTCCTTGTCTCTCACATTGGGTGTTTTCCCTTTCCTACAGGTCCGCTTTTCTGGCAGCTCATATCCCTCTCTTCCTGTACCCCTTCTTGCACACAGTTAGCAAGACACGTCCATTTGAGTACCTGCGGCTCACGAGCCTCGGAGTGATCGGTAAGCAGCCTGATTACCACCAAACAACCAAAATGACAGGTGTCTCTTTATTGTGATTTTCTGAGTCCTGTAATGTTAACAGGAGGAGCTGTTCCTTTTCCGTCAGTTGTGGAGGGACGTTCCTCTTAGTGTGTAGGAACCGGGCTTATTCACTAAAAACAAAACACTGGAGTCTGAGTGCATTGCCAAAAATGTTTCCTGTGAGTACAAGCACCTGCAGGCTTGTTGAGCCTTGCCCTTCAGCCCAGCCAGCTAGACACTGGGATGGGTGGGCGCAGACAGGGCTTTCTTTGCGTTTTTGTCATTGATTGGCTTGGGTGTATTTGCCCCATCTTCCCCTTATCCTGATGTTCGGTTTTGGTTCTTCTTTCTGCCCAAAATGTTTTTCTCTCAAAGCAAAAAG